CCAGAATGAAGACTGCCATGAAATATTCAACCCTGAGGCAGGCGTGGTGGCGCAGGACTGCAATCTTGGCTAGGCAAGATGATTGCAAATTCAAGGCCAGCCTGGGCAACTTAGGGGAGACCCTGTCTCAAAAAAAGTAATTGATTAATTAAAAAATGGAGAGAAAGAAAAAGAGCTAGGGATCAGAGAGGCCAGAAGAGAATGAGGAGCAGTTGACTGTAGGGTGAAGAGAAGACAGAGTGGATTCTGGTGTTAGGTGTCACCAGGAAGAGCAGCTGGGAACCAGGCCTCTGCAGGAGGCTATTGAGGACTGGTTGGGAACCTCAGTGAGGGCTTGGAGTCAGGAGAGTGAAAGGAGCAAGTGGGGGACTGAGGGGCCCCCTGGGAGTCTGGTTATGCCCCCTGCTTCACTCCCCTTAAGCTTCCTCTTCTTTAAATGTTTCCCTAACACCATTTGGGGTGGGCAGTGACACTGTGCACCACGTGGTGAGGGTTGAGGAGGGTGACTAGTGACCAGCCTCGCCATGTCCATCCTGGGGTTGGTGGTCACCTCTGGCTCAGAGTGGCAGGTGCCATCTCTAGGTGTTCCCAGAGCTTGTCAGAGTCCTCATGTTCCAAGTGGTGCAATTCTCTTTCTCCTTCGGGTCCCTGTCCGCATGGGTGTCAAGGCACTGTTTGCTGAACACTAAGTCACACAGATCTACCAGGCTTCTCTGGGTGGTAGCCCTGTCCTGTTCTAGCTGGATGCCAGCCTCCCTGCCACCCCATCTTCTCATCCTCCGAACTGCACCTCCTGTGTCCACTTTGTCTTCCTTGTCCAGGTTCAAGTTGCATCCTGTGTAGGTCCCTGTCACTGGGCCCCCCTCAGCAGGATGCCCACTTTCATATGTTTTCCTTTGTTCTCCAGTGGGCAAAATGCCCAGTCAGCACCACCTTTGCCTGTGGCATTGAAATCACCAAACTGGGCCTCACCTGATGCCTATGTCTCTTGCTCCACTCGATGGGCCTTCTGTTATGACACCTGAGACCCCAGTCCATGGGCAGAGAGCTTCTCTCCAAGACCTGCCCCTAGGCAGCTGCCCCAGAAGGCACCACCTAACAGATTTCCAGCCCAAGCTGCTGGACGTGGGTCTGCTCAGCAGGAAGCCCCAAGCCCACCCATGCCAGGGAGAGTGAGAAGGCACGAAGGTCACTGCCCAAGCCTGTCACAGCTGGACACCGGCACTGAACCATGTCTGGTCTGGTCTGGGGCAGCCAGAGTGGAAACTGGGGGAAGCCTGCAGGCTCAGGTGCTGCCTGGGAGAAGCGCTGCCTTTGGGGTCACCTCAGGCAAGGCAGGGTGACACTGCTGAGGGATAGCTGAGGGTCCCCCGGAACATGGGCACTGCAGGCCATGGGAGGTGAGCTTGGCTGCACCTTGTGCTGTCAGGCAGTCTGGTGGCATGAGCGGTACCCTCCTGAGGAAGGCGGAGTTGGGTTCAGGTTTGGTTTTTCACTCAGTAATTGAGGCCTTCTTGCAGATTCCCGGGGCCTCTCCCCTTCCTGTGCCTGCTGCAAGCTGCATCTCCCCTACAACTCTTTTCTTACTCCTCCTGTTCTCTTCCTGAGACCTGAGTCTGGGGCCTATTAAGTTGCTTTCAAGGCCACCGGAGAAGAACTATGATTTTAAATTCTGATTTTGTCTGTTAGTAGATGTACATTTTTAAAAAAATTCTTAAATTTATTTAAAAGATGAGATTATAGCTGGGCATTGGCAGCACATGCCCGTGGTCCTGTATTGTACTCTGGGAGGCCGAGAAAGGAGGATCGAAAGTCTGAGGCAGCCCGGGCAATGCAGCAACTTAGGGAGACCCTGTCTAAAAACAAAAAACAAAAAGGTCTTGGAGTGTAGCTTGATGCGAAGACAGGGCTCAATCTTCAGTATTGAGAGAGAGAAACACACCATCACAAAGTACCCCACACTTCCACAGGAGACCCCCATTTCCTCAGAATTCTGGAGGCTGGAGGCCCGAGACCAGGTGACATCTGGTCTGGTATCCCCTGAGGCATGTCTCCCTGGCTGGCAGATGCCACCTTTGCTGTGTCCTCTTATGGTCTCCCTCCATGCTCATGTGACTGGTGTCCCCTGTGTGTCCAAACGTCCTCTTCAAAGTGGAGTCAGCTGGCACAGGACCTTGTGGGGCCTTGACGAGCTCTGTAAAGGCCCTGTCTCCGAGGCCACCTGCTGGTGGCCCTCCTCAGAGCTGTCCTAAAGGTTGATGAGGCTATCATCAACTTTTATTCAGAAGTGGCCAGACAGGTCCAGACAGATTCCTTGAAGGTGGGCTGCAAATAGGTCTACCTGCTCCCCTTGTCATTGGTTCTGGAGTCCCTGGGAGTACAAAGGTCACCTCTGATGGGTGTCCAGTGAACGTGTCCTGGAGTGAGCCTGGGTGTCAGGGTTCCCCTCTGGGGTGGACTCAGCTCTCCAGTAGCACCAACTTTGGACTCACAGAATGAGCCCAGAGCCTCAGAAGAAATGAGGAGCTTGTTGGTGAGGTGCTGAGGCCACTGCCAGGAAACCCCCTCCCTGCAGGATCATCCCTGTCCCTGTCCCTGCTGCCTGGAAAGAGGATCAGCAGTGTGCAGGTACCAGGCCACCTTCTTGTACCGCATCCTGCTCATCCAGACCCCCAAGCCTCTACTTCCTGTGGCAGAAGTGGTGGTGAGGAAACTGCTCTCAGACGATGCTGTGCACAGTGCTTAACTTCACCAAGTCAGGAACAGAAGCAGCAGAGAGGCGAGACCAGCTGCCAGTCTGCAGCCAGCACCACCAGGCTCCTGTGTAACTGGTCCCTGAGCCCTTCTTGTATCTTAGCAGCGATGGCTCACAGCATTCAGGGAAGTGCTGATCTGGCACCCCAAAGTTTACTCAAAAGCACACTCGATTAAACTAAGTTAGGCTGGGTTTGGTGGCACAGGCCTGTTCTCTAATATTTGGGAGGCTGAAGCAGGAGCATTGAGTGTCAGAGGCCAGCCTGTGCTTCTTAATGAGTTCAAGGTCAATCTGAACTACACAGCAAGACCCCATCAGAGAGAGAGAGAGAGAGAGAAAGAGAGAGAGAGAAGATAGAGTTCAGCTGGACCCACAAGGCTGTTTGAAAGGAACTTCCTGGGTGTGGCCCAGGATTGGGAATAAATTTGGTGTAGACCACCTGGCTGTGACTGCCCATGTCCCCTTGTCTCCAGAAACCCACACCCTAAATCTGGTCATTTCTCAGAGGACCCATTCCTCTGCTTCCCTAGACCAACAGCACAAGCACAGCTGGGCTCTATAAGCTCAGCTGAGGAATAGCTTAGCCCTCTGAGATGCAGATGTGTCCCTAGAACCCTGCCCCTGTGGGCCAGCAGCAAGGCAGGCCCTGAAAGTGACTCACACTCAGAACATTCCAGAGAAGCATGAATAAAACCACCATAGCCGCTTGTGAGGTGTGCTCCGGACTGGTTTCCACGGAAAAGTGGGGATTGAGCCTCCTCTCTGCTATTTGTTTTGCATCTCTGTTGCTATTACAAAAGCAACACATGCTCGTTCATTGTAGCAGTTGGCAGCCCAGGTGTTTCCTATGCTTGCACCAGCATACTGGGTTTGCTGTGGCGCCACATTGTTCTGCAAGCTGAGTCCCTGGGCCCCCACTTGAGAAGAGGCAGAGAGGGGCCTGGGAAGATGGGAGGGGGAGTACCGATGCTGAGCCTGTCAAGTGGGAGGACTTGGATGCTTCCTTAGGGTTTGGATCACTGTGGGAAGTGGGCAGGGACCTAGGAAAGCAAAAGGAGGATCTGGGGCTGTTTGGTTGGTCCCTAGATAAGTGGGGCTCCTAAAGCCAACATGTTTAAGAGGAAAAAAAACTAATGGGTAATTTTTATTTCAGCATTGAAGAATGTCATAGGGGAACTGTCCTCTGGGAGAACAGAAAATTTGGGAGGAGGCGATTGCTACTGGGGTGACATTCAGGTCTCTAGGCGCACTTAGCTCTGAAATTGTAGGCAGAAGGATCCACAAAAGAGGTGCCAGGTGGACCGAGTGGAGGCATACCCGAGGTGCTGAGGGCCATGGCGAGCTTGTTTGAGAGGTGATGTGGTCCATGGGTGGTGTGGAGAGAGTCCAGTAGCTCCCAATGGCGTACTGTTCGATTTAGTTATGCGAGTTAGGTAGGTGGAGTTAGAAACAAAACTTCTCAACAGCGATTTGAGTACCACTTGGGATCAGACACTTGTCGTCTCTGAGAACTGGGAGAGATGGCGGGCGGAAGTCTGGGGAACCTTGCCAAACTGGTGAGGGGAACAGGTGCCCCCAAAGCACTAAACTTGGAAGGAAACCAGAGGAGATAGCTGCATCAGTGGAGTCCAGGAGGAACTAGAGTAGGAGTTGGCTGGACAGAACGGGGAGGATGTGCAGAGGTCAAGAGTGACAGAGGTAGCCTGATGAGTGGGGGGTGGGATATCCCAGAGTGGCCTTACATAGAAATGGGAGAGAAGCCAAGGGGAAGAAGGTTCAGGAAGGGGCTGCCTGGGCCCTTGAAGGAGCCAAGGCCAGGGAAAAAGAGCACCCCAGCACTTTAAAGAGTGAACCCAGGAGTTCACCACAACTGGAAGTCCCTTCTCTGGGCTTCACTGAGGGCAGAGGCTGCGAGTGACAGGGAGGCCACTTGTCACATGCAATAGGAAGGGTAAAATAGAACTCGTGCGGACAGATGTGGCCAAATGTGCCAGCCTCAGCTTTGCCCCGAGCCACTGAGAAGCTCCTGAAATTCTGGGCAGAGCCTCTAAAGCGGATCAAGCCACGCAAAGTGTTTGGCCTAGGACGTGGCTATGGGTCCAGGTCCGGTTCCTGACTTTGTGTTTCTTTCTCCCTCTTCCTTTAGATCAAGGTGTGTGTGGGCGTCTCCTTGGCCGGCAGCCCTGCTGTGACCTATGGTTGATGTCCAAGGTTTTGACTGTGTGGGTTTGTGTCTTTCTGGCAGGTGTCTCCTCTGTGACTTCCCTGATGTCCCTGGCTTGGGTGCTAGCCTCCTATCACAAGCTGCTGCGGGACTCCAGGGACGACAAGAAGAGCATGAGCTACAGAGGGGCCCTCATCCACCTCTTCTGGCGCCTCTTCACCATCTCATCCCGAGTTATCTCTTTTGCCCTCTTTGCTTCCATCTTCCAGCTCTACTTCGGGATCTTCGTGGTGGTGCACTGGTGCGCCATGGCCTTCTGGGTCATCCATGGCGGGACAGACTTCTGCATGTCCAAGTGGGAGGAGATCCTCTTCAACATGGTGGTAGGGATCGTGTACATTTTCTGCTGGTTTAACGTCAAGGAAGGGCGGACTCGATATCGAATGTTTGCATATTATACAATAGTCTTGACTGAGAATGCTGCCTTGACGTTCCTTTGGTATTTTTACAGAAACCCGGAGACCACTGACTCCTATGCGGTGCCAGCACTGTGTTGTGTCTTTGTGAGCTTTGTGGCTGGGATCGCGCTGATGCTCTTATACTATGGCGTGCTACATCCCATGGGGCCTCGGGCTAAGGTCTTTGCCAGCTCCTGTTGTGCCGAGCTGCTCTGGGGCATCCCTTTGCCTCCCGATGTTGAGCCCATGGCACCACAAACCCCTGGGTACCGGGGGGCCCAGGTTACGCCCACCAGAGCCGTGACGGAACAACAGGAGGATCTCACGGCCGACACTTGCTTGCCCGTTTTCCAAGTGAGACCCATGGGGCCCTCTACCCCGTCGGGGCGTCCTTATCACCCAGAAGGGCCCCTCATTAAGATTGACATGCCAAGAAAGAGGTACCCAGCTTGGGATGCTCATTTTGTGGACAGGAGGCTGAGGAGGACTATTAACATCCTGCAGTACGTCACCCCCACGGCAGTAGGCATTCGCTATCGAGATGGGCCGCTCCTCTATGAGTTGCTGCAGTACGAGTCTTCACTCTAAGAACATCTTGACCCAAGTTGAGAAGGGGACCTTAAGTTTGGTTTGCGGTCAATGCCGCTTGCAAGAAATATAACCCTCCCTTCCCCCCACAGTACACAAAACCACCACCACCACCACCACCACCACCACCACTACCACCACCAACACCACCACCACTACAAAAAAATCAATAAGTCACATCCCCTTCAGATAAGCTTTCTTTCCAGTCGCTGTATGTATACAAAGATATTCTCTATGTTTTATAAGTAAAAACAAAAAGAAAACCTTTCTTTTGTTTTTTACACATAAGAAACAGTATTGAAAAATCCCACACATGGTTCATAGGGTGGAGAAAGAAGAGTTGTCTCCACTCCAAAAGAAAAAAATAAGTTTTATACCTTACACCAAGTGTAGATCATTTATGGGATTGGTGCTGATTGAAAGAACAAAACAAAACAAAACAAAACAAACAAACACAAATGAACAAACAAAAAAACCTTCAACTGCCTTATGCCCTTAGGTGCTGAGTTTCATTAAGTACTGTCACGTTTTCTCATGCAAAACTCTCTGGTGATTTTTGTACCAGGAGAGGGAAAAATTAAATAATCAAATCTGCAAATGAAAACAAATAACAACCCACGAATACAATACAAAGCAATCATTCTTCCTATCTATCTGATTATTTGTATCAAAGAAAACAAATTTTCCAAAAGCAAAAGCATAAACCCCCCCCCTGCATTCAGCTTCTCGCCCACCCTCCCCGTCCCTGTCCCCACTTCTCAGAGCCTTCGAGAAGCCTCAGGGCCATTTGGATCTCCGATGGCCACAAAGGCTGCTCGAGGGCTGTCCACAGGTCATCTTCAAGCTCACCCTGCAGGAATCACATCTGTTTCTTGATGATAAAGCAAAGCAGAGCAAAGCAAAAAGCCACCCTTAGAATTCAGGAAGGTCCAGAAATTTCTACAGCCAATCAAAGGAGATTTCCATATCTGCCATCAAAGAGAATCAGTAATAATAAAACTCAGCATAGTAGCAAAAAGAACAACATCAATTTAAAGGCACAATACTTAATCGGTGACCGGCAACAATGATCTCTTCCATCATTTTAAGGCTGACAGTGGTACACATGTATCACATATGCTAGTGTGTAAGGCCTCTTATTTCCATTTGGTGGGAAGCCTTAAACTGATCTGGAAAGAATTATTCATTTTTCATTTGTGCTTTTTTTTTTAAGAAAAAAAGAAAACATAACACAAAGAGGAAAAACTAGAATATATATATATATCTATATATACAAAAAGTTGAATTGTAATAACTGACCCATTTCAAAGACTGTTTGGTGCTTCTGTCATTGTGGTTGGCTGAAAGTCATTCAGCTCACCTGGTGCATCTGGGTTGAGTGGGAAATTTGTGTGTGTAGTGCGTATGCGTGTGTGTGTGTGTGTGTGTGTGTGTGCGTGCATGTGTGTGCCCATAGCACACATAGACATGTGTGTATGTGTCCCTGCTGCAAGGTCTTGCCAGAAATACACAAAATTGCTCAGAGACAGGTGCTATCGTGGCTCGGCGGAGGGCTAGTGCCGTAGACCGGGTGGGGTGAGGGTTTCAGGGTGCCTGTATGAGGCCCCTCCCCAGAGAACGGGTGTCCACCAGCAGCAGACACAAGTCTGCGAGGCCACGTGGCTTAGGTGAGGATTTGATTGTGCTGTGGGTTTTCTCATTGTACCAAGTTGAATATCTGGAGGTGTTGCATGTGTGTTCAACCATTTGTAAACCTTTTATTTCTTGGAGTATTTTTCCTTGCAGGACTACTTGTGTTCTGGGGCATCATCACAGTACCATTGTATCTCTACTTGGGCACAAAAAAAAAAAAAAAAAAAAAGAAAAAAAAAAGGAAAAGAAAGAAAAAAATAAAAAAGGAAAAATATCTCCACAAAAGAAGATATATATATATATATATATATATAAATATAAGTATATATATACACACAATATTTTTAAGTAAATACTGTTAGTCTTTGTTGTGTGTAGTTGCAATTTTTTAAAAGAAAATTCCAGATATAACTGTTTAGGGTGCAAGACCTCACATTGAACTATTCTGGAAAAGATGTTCAACTGAGGAATTTCTTTTTTTATGTTTGTGGAGCTGTTTTTTCAAAAGTTATTATTCAAAAAAGCTTCTCCTTCTTACTCCCTCCATTGTTTATCTAAATCTTTTTTTTTAAACAGTTGTAAAACCAAATGTCCCCTTGCTTCGTCTGGCCTCCTTGCTCACCTAAATTGTCATGCAGCTTTGCAGTGCATCCTCCCCCATTTCTGACAGCGTCCCCTGGGGTCCTCCAGGTCCCCTCTGTAGGAAGCAGGATGGAACAGAGCACACCTGGGCCATGGTGAAGGCCAGCTGGACTGTCCAGGTGCAGCCAGGTGACAGGCCTGCCAGCCAGGCCCGGCTTCCTGCCAGCTGCAGCGCTTTCCTGCTGGTGGCCCTACCTACTCACAGGGCTGCCCACCGAGCTCCCTACCTCTGAGCTCCTCTGTGTACTCTGCTGAGGCTGGGGAAGGTAAGGTCCTGGGGAGGGGGAACTGCCTCAAGCTGGCTGAGATCTTAGCTCTTGTCTGCCCAGGTCTGGGGCTCCCTTGAAGCTCCTTGGAAGCTGTCCCAAATGCATCCCCTTGGGACTTCTGCTTTCTTGTTTATGCTTGGGGGTATTTCCTTCTCATTTGCACCCCGTCGTAGGTTTAATTTGCCACCTCTCTCACTACTCCATGTAGTGCATGTGCGTGTGTACGTGCATGTGTGCACGTGCATGTTCATGTTTACAGGAAACCTAGAAAGAGAACTGTAGGCATTGTCCTCAAGCACTAAAAGTTGGGTGGCTTCCAGCTGAGGGAAGCAGTAGCCATGGGGACAAACAAGGAAGGCGCCAGATGGTTAGGAGTCCTTGAGTTTAGCTGTTGTTGAAGATGGGCGGGCCCTGGGGTCCCCCAGCCAAGCCACATTTCCTACTCCAGCCCTGCTTCTGCACCCCTCCCCCCTGGGTGCTTGCACCTCTCCTCATGTTGCACTGAGACCATGCATCTCTTCCCAGCTGCTAGGAAAGTGGTTTTGCTGAGAGACAGGAAAAGGCAAGAAGGTGAGCAATGGATAATAGGAAGGGAGGCAGAGAGGGAGATTAGCACTGTGACCAGACAGATGTCCCTCTGTTGTCACTTGATCCTCATCTTTGAGCTTCTCCAGTCACCAGAAAACTCTTTCTCTGCTCATCCCAGGCATCCGCTTCCCTGGGGTCTTCTCTCTTCAGCTGTGTCCCTCCCCTTCAGGAGGCTGCTAACAGCTAGCTGGCCCTGGGTGTCATGCAGGAATCCACTGGGGATGTCTGTCCACCCTACCCAGGTAGTCTTGGGCCACTGCACCTATGAGAGATGGGCATCTGCCATTTGCTTAGGCTCCTGATAACCCCCCATGTACAGACCAGTGAGGTGCCAGCCCATTCCATCCCAGGTGCTTCCTGATGAGTGGTCTATAGGATTTTTAAAGACATCTCTGAATCCCTTTCTTTCCCAGGAAAACCTGGTGGCAAAAATCAACTCCAGGCACTTGGCTCTGGAGCTATAGAATACAATAAACTTGTCCCTCTGTTTCCTTGTTGTCCTCATCGAATCTGCCCACAACACCATCAAAGTCCCCAGAAGCACGTGGCTCTTCTTTTTGCTTAAAGAAGTAGGGTCTCTTCACATTTAGGGACCGATCTTGTTAGCATGGTTTCTGAAAGCCCTGTCTCTGTGCTCAAGTGGGTCTTGCTGCCTCTGTGGGTTTCTGCATGAAAAGAAGCCTCAGCCCACTCACGTTCCTTTGGGGTGATATCTCCGAGCTCAGGTCACAGCCTGAAACAAGAAGCTTCCTGTCTCTTAAGGCTGCTGTGAGGACAGCTAAGAAGCTCTACATACCCTGGGTCAATGACACCGATCTTACCTGCCCCAAAGCTTTTTATAGCCAGAATATTTGTCCAGTCTCTCTGGAAGATGTCATTTTGCACTCTAGAGTCATACGTGTCTGTGTAAGTTGGGAATCAGGGATGCCACGGGGAACACACACCCCAAGAAGATCAGGGGCCAAAATGGAGCTCTCTCTTGGCTGTGTGTGTCATCACCATGACATGGCCTCAATCAAGTGAGACAGCATTTCCCTATGGCCCCAGGGGGCCTCCACCACTCCCCAGGTTACAGAACCACACAGTGCTCTGTGGTCCCGCACAGCTGTGGTCACTCGAGTTCCACAGTGGGTATCTAAGAGAGCAGAACCTGTCTAACCACGAGGGTGATCCCACTGGCTGTACACCACCTCAGACCACAGGCCCACGCCCCTGTGCCACTACAAGCCTGTCTAAATGACACCATTTTCTCCACTCTTCCTCCAATTTTACTTTCTCCCACCATCCCATCATAAGGACAGAAAAAAAAGGTGTCTGATACGAGCCTCATTTGGAGAAGCTCTCATATGGCCATGTTCCCATTACTTTGTATTCATCTGAACACCCTTGGGTGTCTGTCTCCTGCGAGAGATCACATGCTTTCCTGTTCCCTGTCGCTGCCGCTCCACTTGTGTGTCTGTACCTGAGCACAATGTTCTCTACCCCTTACTTAGGAACAGGGCCAGGAGACATCAGGCTCAGAGCCTAAGAGAGAGCTAGACTGGAGCACACTCCAAGGCGTCCACATCTGCCCATTTCTATCTTTTGGGGGCTTAGTGGGGGGCAGTTCTCTAGCATTTGTCTGGTCTCCCAGAGAATGGTCTTGTCCATTACATAAAGAAACACTGAAATAACAAGATCAGATTTTGTTGAGAGGAATGGGACTTAAATTCAAAGAGTGTAAAGGGAAGAAAGATCATTGCGTTTTCACCTAGATTCAAGTGACATTCCCAGTATAGACACAAAAAGTTCCGGAGTAGAACGGAAGCACTAGGGAAGCCCTGCGAAAGGCCTTGTGCCAGTGAAGGGGGAGACCCAGGCCTGCCTTACTCCAGGGATTTCATTGCTTTATCCTCCATCATGTCCTCAAGGATGATGGCCCTCCTCAGCATGCCACAGGCATCCTCTGGAAAACGAGCTCCTCTCATGAGGGTCTGGGTCCAAGTCTGTATTCCTTGGTCCTCGTCCCGGACTGGCCAGTGTCCTAGAAGCAACATTCCGTTCTGACCCACAGCCCAGTCTTGGGAATGTGGGTATGGCACATTTGTAGGTTACAACCCCGTAAGCTAGAAAAGGGGCTGTTCCTGTGCATCCTAAATCAATGCGTGCCTGTCCAAACGTCAAAACGTAAGAAGGCCACCCTGCTCTCTCAGAGGTATGTTCCTAAACCCCTCTCTGGGGAAAAGGATGATGTTTACTTTGAACTCTTGCAGTGGCAACACACACCTCCCCCTATCTCATTTTCAGCTGCTCTAAAGGTTTCATTTCTGGCTCAAATGCGTCTTGTGCTATTGGCCAAATATTAACTACACTGCCTTGATCCAGCTGGAGCATTCTTCCCCTGCCCGCCTGGTTCTGTCTGCCTTATTCTTCTTCCCCAGGCACCATCTGCTTCTTCTTGCTCCCTGTGCCTTTCCTTGCAGTGGTTGGCAGTACATTGCTGATCCATTCTGGAGCCAAAGGTCATGAGTGCTATTAATGACAGCTCCTGGGGGCAGCAGACGGAGCGCAGCAGGAGTTCCCCTTTCTCCAGGCCAACACCTAAGAATAGTCCACAGTGGACATGAGCAGGCAGGACTTAGGGATATTTATCCTGGGCTGCCCCATCGCATACAGGACAACCTGTGGGTCATATAGGAGACCCTGACCTTGCCCTCCCATCCCTAATATGAATCCCAACATCCTGTTCCAAATTGAAGTCAGCTCTATGCTGCTGCCTCCAGGGGGCGCTGCTCTTAATTAGTATTAGTCATCTTCAAGGACAAAGATAATTATTTCCCTTTGGTATAGTGCCAACTGGTAATTTAGTGAACTGTACATAGTAAACCTTGGCCATTTGTTGTGGTGGATACAGACAAGCACTCACCAGTTCAATGAACTCCTCTGCTCATCTGCAGTCCAGCTCCCAGGTCCTGAGATAAAGGGGACTTGGAGATTTGCTCCAGATTCACATCTCCTAGGCACTCTTCTTAGGCCCAGAAAGATCAGGAAATGCTACAGGCTGATTCGGGGGCCCCACTGTGACCATGGAAAACTCACTTCACCTCTCGGTGCCTTGGTTTCTCCATCTGTAAAGTGGAGGGAGAGCAGCCCAACCTCTGCTCTCCCTCCTGCTCAGGGATGCTGCGAGGATTTGATGTTGCTTTTAGTGAAGGTATGATGGGAGGGACAGCAGTGACCTCATTTCTTGGGAAGTGGAACTATGGAAGGAGAGGGCTTTCTAGGGACACTGGAACCCAGAAGCCCCCAGAATGAGCAGGAAGGGAGAAGGGACAGGAAGAAGATTCACATCCCTGGAGTCCTTAGACATTCACAGCACTGTGAACCCAGTAAAGTGATACCCTGGTCAGGTGACCCTGGTCACCTGGCTCAAACTGACGGCTTATAATTCTTAAACTGAATCTCCTGATGTTAATTCGTCCTGAAGGACCAGTGAGTACATGGGAATGTCAGTCTGGAAACTGACATCCATTGAGCTTGGGCAGACAAGAGAAAGAATGTAAAGGGATGCCTGGAGGTGGTTTGAAAGGTGGCATAGAGCTCTTCAGGAAGCATCTCTCACCTTGTCCTGGACCCTGAGGCTCACCTCACCCAATGTGCTCACCTTCTCTTAATCCCCCACAGAGTACAAAAAACAAAATCTGCTTTCAGCTGTCCCACTCACCAGATATGTGGAGCTCCATGGTGGTCTTCACCCTCCCTGGTGTGCTCTGGCTGGCGCCGAAAGGCAAGAGATTCAGAAATAAACAAGGCTGGGGAATATCACAAATTTTTCTTTTTCTAAATGGGGGTATTTGTTTTCCAAATCATTTGAATCAGAAAGGCTAAGTTGAATTTCTTTTTCTTTCCTTTTTTTCCCCTTTTTACTATGGTTTGACTGTTACCATTTCAAGGACCAAGCTAAACCTTGAGCAAGAAACCAGACTTCTCATAAGAACCTTGATGTACTTCTTAGGACCCAACCCAGAGTGAGGGCAGGTGGGAACCAGGGAGGACACTAGTTCCCAGGGATGACAGCTGTGACAATGATTTGCTATTGACTCTGAGAACCATCTTGGGAAGAAAAATTCTGGAGGCTTCCACTATTATGGATAAGTCAATCTGGCCCTGACCAGGTATATTCTGATCTAGAAATTCTCATCAAAAAAGAAAGGAAAAGAAAGAATTGTCCTGAAGAACAGAGTACTCGCAAGGGCAGGTCTTCACTGCTGCTGCCAAACCTCTTGCCCTTGACCGAGGAGCCAGATTCCTTCCCACCTGCTCTGACCTGGCTCCCCAAAGTGAATACTGTGGTTTTGGTCTAAAGGACCAGTCACAACCTGGAATTTCATGGTGACTTCTGTCTGATTGTTCTGAGACTAGGCCAAATCCTGCCAGAGTTATTTGTCTCCTGAAAGTATTTCTGATAGTTACCAAAAGAAAGGCATGCACAAGACCCTGGACCCTTCTGAGTCCATAAGCATCCCTGTTGACTGGCAAATGGATCATAAGGCACTCAGGAAGGAGAAGTTGGCCAGTGGATGCCCTGTGGACCTCCAGGGAACCTGCCTTGGTAGATGGTAGGAAGGGTGAAAGGAAAAGGATGGTTTCCGGGCATGTGCGGAAGGAAGACATCAGCAACCAGCTAGTCAGGCCTTCCTGACTCGCTGGGGCAGAAATAGCAAAGCATATTCTTTTCAAATAGAGGAAATTGCTTTTACAGAGTAACTTATTTAAGCCTTTTTTGTAAATGAAAGTATCAGAGAATGCGTCTAAAGAAAGGAGAGGCATGGCTTTTGGACACATCATATATCTGGAAACAAAAAATGCAGGACCTTATCTTTCTGCAAATCTACCTAGGTTGAGTCACTCTGGGGCCAATTTCTCTTCGTGCGAAATAAGAATATTGCTTACCTACCTCACAGGGGTGTTGTGAGGATAAGTAATTAATGTCTGGTAAAGCACTTTAAGGATAAGAGTATTATGATTATCAATTTGCTTCTGTTTAAAAGCCTTCTGAATATTAATTGAGCAACTACTCTGCACAAGGCACCATGCTTTGTGCAGTAAGAAAAGGATGTGAACTAGCACCTCTACTCTTTGGACTAAGGATATTTTAAAGAGCCAAGAGGACAGAATAACAGTGTTATCTCAGTGTGGGCCCAGAAAGGTGAGCTCTGTCTTTCTGCCCCAGGAAGGCAACTCCCTTTCCTTCCCTAGTATCTGGGCAGGTGAGAAGGAAAGGCCCGAAGTCCTGTGGCTTCCATCGGAGAAAGCCTTTCCAAGGAGCAAACATCGCTGGTTCGCGCTACATCCTCCAAGGGGAAATGAAGGGGCCCAACGTGAATGCACCCTGTGCCCAGCGCATTTGGTTCTATTGTTTAAACTGTCCCTCCTGCCCTCAGCTTAATGCGACTGCAGACTTCCTCTCCTCTCTAGATTCAGAGAACGATTTGCTTCTGCTGTTCTGGAAGAGCAGGAACTTTTTGGTTTGTTCGTTTCCTAGGAAAGTCTGGTATGCTGTTTGCTGGAAAGTCTTGACTTCCAAAGACAAGGGTCTTTACTAGAAAACAAGTCAAAACATGAGACTGTCTTTTTGGGAGGAGGGGATAGTTATCATTTTCTTAGCTGCCTCACATACAACAAAGCCTTTTAAAAGTATTTTTTGTTTGTTTTTCCATCTGCAGAAAGTTCTTCCCTTTCTAACACACACAGTGAACCCAGTATGGATTCCAACACGTTCTAAACAGAGAGCATCTTGGATTGTGTGGAGTGCTGAGCAGGGTTCACTAGTTTCTGCAAAGAGCCAACCCTTGGTTAAGCTAAGCAGGTACAGATTCCAGTGCTGGACTGAGGCTTCTCCAGCGTGCTCCCTGGGGCTTTTGGCTTTGGGAATTGTCTTTTCAGTGGTGATCAATCGCAAGTCCTTAGAAACTCTTTCACCATGAAAGAACATCCTCAGAACCCAGTGGGAGCTTCCTCAGCATGGCAGAACCAGCATGAAGCCATTTGTTATCTTGAAATTGTTAAACAATGCCTGGCTTTGAGGACAGAAGAGAAATACTTCTCCTTTCAGAGGGAAAAGGAAGGTTATTTAGCTTGAAAAACAGACCCCTTTATTGTAAAAAGGGAGGGGGGGGGGACTCAGAGGTTCCTAATGGTCCCCTCTGTTTGGACAAAGGACTGGGGAGGCCTGCAGTGAGTTCCCCTAGGTCACATCTTCCTTCTTTCTACCTAGAGCCTGAGGAAGGGGTGACTTCAGCTCTGGGGCTGCCATCTTACCCTGGATCATTCTGAGCTTCTCGGCCATGGCTCTGCCCCTCTCTAACTCACACTGAACAGCTCCCAGCTTTGGTGGCGATTTGCTGATTCCAAAAGGCCTCCTCTTCATGTCTAACCCTTGCACACACATGGTTTCAGGTCAGGCCTCTTTGCTCCACCATGGTTTCTTCAGTCTTCCTTTTGCCTTGGCGCCATTACTGCTGCATGCTTCTTCCAGAGGGATCACATCATCCCCTGAGCACAGGCCTCCAGCATTGCCATCGGTCTGACCTGCCAGCAGTCAAGGACAGACGTTGTTTCTTCATTCTGTTAAATCCATGTGCCTTTAAGAGATCTGCTCCTGAGTCCCTGAGAGGCAAAGGTAGAAGAAAGGGACAGACAGTATTAGGAACACACCAGGGATCTCACTGATTGCCTGGGAAGCTGATGCATGCCACCAAAGGAAAATGTATAGTTTTCACACTTCTTGGACTCTCTGGGAGGTATTATCTCCTCAAGAAAACAACCATACATGTCCTCTGCCACAGCATCAACCACTGTGCTGTGGGACCTGCTCCTGGTTGATGGCTTTGTACTTATTTGTTTGGAATTACACTAATTATGAGATGCCCGAGAAGGGAAGAGAAGGATATAGCATGCTAAAACCCACCTAAGCTAGGAGGTGCTCTGAGACTGTGAAATTATCGTGGATTGTACAGAAGTGAGGGAACTTGAGAAGGTAACCACATTCTAAGTTTATTGATCACACCGAGATATGTACATGTACCAATCCTGAACACATATATGTGTATCTTTTCTCTTAAAAGCCTGACGGGAAAGAATATTCTGACTTCTAAAGCTCCTGGAAGACTTAGAGTAGACCTGACCAATGGATTGTTTCCTTTCTTGAAGGCACAGAGTCTTGAAGAAATTCTTGGCTAGTCAGTGCCCTTTTCTCCTCCATCTGTGATAAAAAAAGTTAGAGTAAGATTGCTCTGGCCTTGGAGAGACTCTTCAGTTGTGCCCAACATTCCTAGTAGGTTTGTAGCCAGACATAAAAGTTCCAGGAAACAGCTTCCCAGACCACTCCCTATTTTTCAGAATTCTGATCACACAGGTAGACCTGAGTGGTTAGTAGGACAGTCATCAAAATAGGGAAAGAAAATGAATACAGGGCCCAGAGATTTAAGTTCAGTAGCATAAGTGCCTGCCTGGCAAGTACGAGGTTGTGAGTTCAATCCCTGGTACAAAAAAAAAAAAAAAAAAGATGGAGCTTGGAGCTTGTCTGTCATGGCTCTGAGCCCAGTGGGTATTGCATATTCTTTGGCCACCAGGGTCTTGGGCCATGACTTGCATGCATAGCTGACCTGCAGAGTAAATATCTGCAGGTAAAGCTGGGCTAGACCTTAAGGACTCAGGGACAGAGACTCTTCTGCCTAAATGCAAACTCTGATAGACATTCCGGGCAACTGCACTAGGGGTGGCATAATCTAGTTCCAGCAGGGCCACAAGTTCCCTTGATAGGACAGCATGGGCTTTTCCAGTGGCTCCAGAAGAAGCACAGGTACATGTGGAGTGAAAAAATACTCTAGTCCCCTCCTGCCCCGGTCACAGAATGAGCTTGAATGAGGCAACAGGATGTTGGTCATCCTCGAAGAACCATTTTTAGGAAGGGAAGAGCATGCAGTGCTGGGAGGAGAGGGAACCCACACAACAGAGTTCTGAGCCCCCGCTCTGGGTAGAAGAACCAGGATGGACACCTGCAGCCCTGCAGTTCATGTTCAAGGGCAGCTCAGATCCAGGCAGGTGCTTGCTAGTTGTCACCTAGGAGGCCTAAAGGCAAAGACCATGGGTTCTGTCCAGGACCCCCAGACACCTTTCTAGCCACAGTCCCCCAGAAGGGCTTTTAGACCCCTCTGATGTGTGGCTCATGCACAGTCTGTATTTCTGGAAACAGTAGTGTGGCCACGTGGCCAGCTGGTGGGCTACCATGCTGGGTCTTGCCATCACGCCTGGCACCTTTCTGTGCTTTGCCTCATCCCAGATGTGCCATGCTAGTCTCACAGACATATAGGCAGCCCATAGACTCTCTGCTTTCCCTGTGACGTCCATGCACGTTCCCCCGCCCCAGCCCCAAACCCCAGTGCTCCAGGTTTCCATTCTCTTTCCCCCACATGGGCTTCCTGGTGACACAGACCCACTTTCTGCTGCTGTGTCAGAGAAGCTGCTCTGTGGGACCCAAGGAGACAGGAAAAGGGACGATGAGAGTGCGGCCGTGGGGCAGCCCAGCTTCCCATGTGGCTCTGTCCTTTCACCCATAAAAACATGACCAGTTTGTTACACAAAGATTACACAAGCAGAGGGAGAAGGGAGGCGAAGAAGAAGAGAAGAGCAGAGGAGAGAAAGGTAGGGGCAGGATAAGGAAGGAGAGGAGAAGGAAACGGAGGGGAGGGGAGGAAGAGAGTAGGGAGAAAGAGAAAGTAGGCCCTCGCGGTGTCACACATCCTCAGGTTTTGGACTCTCTCTGGTTTGCCGAGAGCTGAGTGTCCCAGTGTCCTCCAGCCCACGCCTGCCTCAAGCCAACATGGCAGTGGCTCTGGCCCCAACAACCCCACCCCAGGCATGAAGCACTGTGGCTTCTCCTGAGCCCATGGCTCTCTGGCCCTTTGCAGCCTGTGGGCTCCAAAAACTGGAATCCGGTCTCTCTCCTCGGGGCCAGCATTACAGGGATGTCCTCTCACATCTGTTTGGTTTTTCTTGGGTGCTCTTCCAATTCTCCTTCCATTGCAACCCACTAAGGCTGATGACTCACTGCGTAGACTCCTTCTGGAGGCCCTGGAACAGCGGGGTGGGTGGCTCTGCTCTGTCCCATGAAGGTGCTAGAAGAGGTTTCCCATCTCCTAAACTCAGGCAATTCAGAGCCGTGAATGCATACAGTTTGTAATTTTCCCTAAAGGGCTAACACAATTTCCAGTTGCTCCTGTCTGTGGAGCCTCAGCTGCCTGAGAAACTTGTGTTCTTGGCTTTCTAGGAAGCAGGGCCTTAAACACTATCCAAATTCCCTACCCCACCTGAGGGAAGTGACCAGGTAAGCAATTCCTACAGCAAAGTGCCGGAACTTGGCTGTTAGGAGCAGGAGCTGGTGGCCAGGCCCTACTTTGCTGACATTTTTTACAGTAGTAAACCCATGTATGCAGCCAGCATTCTCTTCTCCATTTCCTGCACATATGTGATTACACCCTGGGAAGGAGTGGGTGGGTACCCTGCACCTTCCAAAACTCAGACCGGGCTTGCCCCTGCTCTCCAGTTTCCTGATCTATAGGCTGAGAACAAAGTGTACACACTGGGCCTCCTAAAGGGGCAGGTTCATTGCTACCTGCTGTTAGTCAAACTCCTCACCTAAAGAAACTCAAGTGAGCCCACGGTTGGTCCCATCTCTCAGGGCCTGCTCATCATACCCAGGAGGGCCGGGTAGTTGCCTGGCTATATATCACAACAGAGCCACATAGGTGATGCTTGGGTGCTACCTGGGCAAGGACAGGGGACCCTAGTGCAGTGGGGGTGACACTAGCTATAGCTAATTCACCCTTTGGAGGGAAAAAGAAGCCCCGGTTCTCTAAATGCAATTTAACTGGGCACCTGTGGTATGCCATACAGTCCTTGCACATGGTTAAAACAAGAGGGGCTGGTAATAATCCAAAAGACATTGTAAAGACTGGGAAGGAAACCTGAGCTTGGCTTAACTATGTAGTAGGAAGATTGCAAGCAGGAAATCACTAAATTTGAACTCTGTGGCCTTGGGGCCGTTATTTAGCCTTTAAAGCCATCAAAGTCCTTGTTTCAAAAGTGTGCTTTCCAGTTCCCAAATACCCTGGAGACCGTGACTCAGGCAGCCATGACTGCTCCAGAGCATGGCAAAGGGTGATGACACAGAGGCCCAAGCAAATGGGAGGTAGCAGCATGCAAGCTGAGCCTGTCCCCACTTCCCATCTCCGGGGCTACAACCTGGTGCTCTTCCATGTCACAGATCCCCCCATCTACCAGGTCTTACTTCAGGAGCCTGAGTGATGACATATTTGGGGTCCCCTCCCTTTCTGTCATCTCTGGTGGCCAGCAGCAGCTCAGAGCTGCACATCTCCCTTAAGACTCCACTGGCACACAACCCCAGTTTGGAAGAGGGCAGGGCTTGAGGTCAGCAAAGTAACTGCCATGTCCAGAAGGAGGCTCTGGAATCCGGAAAGGAAGTCCTGGGCAGAGACCATCCCTCTGCACCCCCGAGGTGGATGGGACTTCATACACACAGGGCCGTTAGCATAGGAAGCAGGTGGAGGCAAAGAGTATAAGAGGAGGCCTGGGAAAGGCAGACAGGTGGCTTTTCTCTGTCCCAGGAAGGTGCTAGGAGAGGCCCTTTGAGACTGAAGGGCTGCTCTGAAGCCTTCAGTTTGTCTCTGCTGTCTTTGCCCCTGAAAGTAGGCTTGGGTAAATAAGTTAGAATTTTGAAAGATTTATTTGCTTCCTTCTTAAATGGGATGGTCACTTTTGGTATCTATAACCCTCTGAATCTGGAACCATTAAAGACAGAAAGCCCAGTTCAAGGAAATGCTAGAGTTCCGTTTAAATGATATATTTCAGAGAGCACTGTATTGAAGTCCCACCAGCAGCAGCTTCCTCCGTCTTCAGGAGATACCCTGGCTTGGGTTTGGGAGAGACGCCCAGTGTGAAGAGTCATCTTGATCCTGATCATAGGTCTCCCTGTCTTGTCACCATGGGCTTGGGAGTAGAAGGCAAGTCCTAGGAGCCTGCAGGTCACACCAGGATGGTCAGTGGAGCTCCCTTTCCCAGCCTAGACACAAAGCCAAGTGAGGACAATGGCTGGTGAAGGAAGTCCTGTCTCCCCACCCCATGCCCAGAAATCCTCCTGCAAGAAAGATGGGCTCCCCATTTCCAAGTGCAGCATAGCTCTTACCTGGAGAAACAGAGCTGCAGATATTTCAAGGCTGGAAAGGATGTTGCACATAATTTAAAGGCCATCTCATCCACCTTGAGATCCCTTCCCAACTTTCCAGTGGCACACAGAATTCTTGGTGCTCCAGGCAGCCAATGGCTTCCATTTTCTTGGCCAGACTGTGGATGGAGTAATATTGATTCTAAGTTAACATGCATAGTTTACAGCTATGTGGGCAGACATGGGATCTGTCCATCCACTTTAATCTGGAACTGGTGCTATTTGTGGCAAACTCTGCCTGTGGATGTAATTCTTCTCTCTCTCTCTCTCTCTCTCTCTCTCTCTCTCTCTCTCTCTCTCTGCCTTCCTTCTCCCCTTCCTTTCCTTTTCCTTTTCCCTTCTTTTTTAGAAAGACAAATTCCTTTGTAGGTTTTTCTTGGCACAAAATTTTTGTGCTTTCTTTGGGTAGCTTGGTTTCCAGTGTCTGAGGTTCCTTGTTTCATTTCAGAGACTTAAATATGTTTCCTCTTCTATCTGCCAAAAAAGACAATTGCATTTAAAAGACCAGAATCAGGCTCTTTCTCCCCTCAATCCCCGTTGAGTTGGAGTACACAAATGAACATGGGCTGAGATTTATTTTTTTGGTTATTTTTATTTTAAGGAGAGTAAAGCTAAGCAAAACCAAACAGTGTAAGTGATACAGGACTTCACAACAAGATAATAAAACATCATCAGTGGTTACCATGATGGCTCTTGTTGTCTTCAAAATAGCTTGGGCTGAGATACTTTGAGTCAATGGCTTCAGGGTCTCTGAGGATGGTGAGTTTTCTGTTCCCTGGCAGCAAATGGAAAGTCAGGGTGGTCAGGTGGTGACAGAAGGTCACAGCAGGTCAGGGTGGTGACAACAAACAATTTAACTTTTCAAAACCTTGTGGTGCCTTTTCTTGTGGTGCTTCTTTGTCATTCACTCCACGCAAGGCAGCCACTTGCAGCAAGCAGCAATGCCAGTACTTCCCTTGGTATTATGTGCCAGTGCAGTAAGAGACTTTAATGTATACGTATATAGACACAGATATGTCACTATAGTTATATGATTATATAATTGAGGTTCTGATGCAGCTTTTGTTGGGAGTTGATCGTTCCTCTGCAAAAATATACTACTACTCAGCTTGAACGGATGGCTCTTTTGGAAGTCTGATGTTGGGGAAGGACAGTGACAGATGAGATTGGTTTTTCTCCTGGGATGAGCTTCCTTCTTTCTTGTGAAAGTTGCTGTCTCCAACACATGAGTGTTTGACAAGGAAGCAAAGAGCAGCTTCTTTTAAACTTCCTTTGGTGCTGATATTTTTTAAAATTCTTTCTTCATTTAGCTTCCCTGCCTGTAACCAATAAGCTGCTTTCCCAAAATCTCAGTTCACCAATTAAAGTTGGCCAAGGACTGTTTGGGAGTAAGAAGCTAGAAAGCAGGTGTTCCTGACTTTGTTTCTGAACTCAATTCCTTCTGTGATCTCCGTAAGTTTCCCAGATCCAGTTTCCCCATGTAAAGAAGATTCACATTCTTTCCTTACATCATGGGAGGGGTAACTTAAAAGGATTGATCTAGGGCACAGAGTCATTGCATCATTATTAATTAGGAGACAGCAACTTGATATGTTTTCAAGACTTTGTATGTTGCTGAGATTTTAACCTTGGTGTTTTGCTTTGTTCCTCTCTTCCTTCATCTCTACTGTTTTGTGTCCTTCCTTTGCAATACCTTGGAATGTTGAGTAATGGACTGAGATTCACCTAGGGCATTGGGTAGTGCTAATTTCTCCTAAGGGAACAACATCACTAATACTGTATAAGGTGCTAGAATCAAACCTCATTTTATATACTTTGGTTCTTAGAGAAAAATAAAACATGCAGAATTCTTTCTGTGAAGCCTTACTATAGATTGTGATAGCCAATTGTTTATCCAAAAAGTGAGAAAGAAGAAAAATAAAGATAAGATGCTGAGATTCTATAGAAAATATAACTAAAAGACCTTTGCTATTTGCTATATTAATGTAAACTACCATATATTATATATAATATATATATATATATATTTACATGTGCTTGAGGTAGAAAGAATGGAAAATGTAAAGTATGCTCATCTTTGTTTTTAATTTTCACTGGTTTCACAACTTTTCGCATGTGTGCAAGAGAGGTTTACAGCGGGGATTGGATGAGAGACGCACAGTGCGTTACGTGAAATTGTTGATATTTCTGTTCTGTTCCGTGTGTTATCGGGAGTAGGCTGAATGAGAGACAATGGAGATGTGCTTTTTCACGTTCAAAGCGTTGCTGTCACACTTTGGTGTTTTTCCTCCTCATTGGAAGGATTCTCAACAGCACTGTAAAAGTGGCCGCTGCCCGGGGTGTTAACAAATCATGTTTACCTCGAGAAAGCGAGAAAGCGTCTTAAAAGAAAGTTGTCCTATTTCATCTATTAAAGAAGAATGACCACCCACCCCAGCCAGAATGTGGAGCATTTCCCCAGAAGTTCAGTAAGAGAATCGAATCATTTCTGGTGCTTTCCTTCACGCCCTCATCTGCACTCCCACCCTTCTTTAGTTGCTGCTGAAAGCAAGAATCTGAGAGATGACTTCCAACAGGAAGAGGGGTGAAGATGTTGGAAAAGTGTATTGGGAAGCCAAACTATGCCAGAACAAGCGGTGTGGGGTCCTTTCAAAGAATAGCTGTGTAATTCAGGTGTTCAGTGCTAGCATGTGAGCATGCGTGCGCGTGTGTGTGTGCGTATATTGTGTATATGTCTCAGTGTATGAAGTGTCTGGTGGACAGAGAACAAAATACAGCAAACAGAAATGAACAGGAAAAAAAACTATCAAATGCTATTTTATCCGAGATGCACTTGTTCACCTTGATGAGAAGCCACTGTTTCACAACTATGCAATCTTCCCCTTCTTCCTCCCTCTCGCCTTTGCCTCAGATTCCCCACAGATTTCAAACTGTCTCCTGTATCCCTCACAGATTTCTTTTCCTCTGTCCAAGAACCACAATATCCGACCCCTAGTTCAAGGTGAGCATGCTACCGCGATTCTTTTCTTAAATTTAAGAGCTAACAACAGCAACACCAACAAGAAGTTTCCTTTGCTTTCATTTGAAATGATTCGATGTAAACCTGTTTGGTTCTGTTGGGAACTATGGCTATGTACTTTATGTTTTGGTTACACGTTTACAGCCTGTTTTCATCTTCCTCTTGGTTTGATCTATTTTCTTTATAGATTCTACTTTGTATGGTGTATGTTTTGGGGATGTGTTGATTAAGGCAAGAAAAAAATTTGGCTTAAGTAGAACAATGAGCATGTGACCTGGGGCTGGGTGGGGGTAATGTGTACCTGGAGCTTTTGAGGGCCTACATCCTGGGCCGGATACAACCACAGCATGGAGCCGGGTACTCGGGGCAGAATTTGACCTGTTGGATGTTTTTCTTTCTTTCTTTGTGGTTATATATATGGAGTAACCTATCCCTAGAGGGTCAGCTAGAACCTTTTGCCTTAGCTTTCAGCCAACTACATCTTTCCCAGCTGCTGTCTCAACCTACGCCCTATTCCTAGTGCCAAATGTCACCCTCGCTGATACTCCTCCCCGCCGCCAGCCATCAGTGGCAGCTTGCCTGAGGGGGTGCATGCCTCTGATTTCATTTTTAAGTTTGGGTATAAGGGAATGTCCAGGCATGACATCAGTCGTGCCTAGGAGGCCAGTCCTTCCTCAGACGGTAGACCATGTGGAGGCAGATTGGAACACCCTTAGCCACTGAGGAGTATGGGGGACTCCAGTGCACTCCCAAAGCATTGCCAAGCCCGTTCAGCTGAACTGGCACTCCCTTCACTGGGTTCTAAGAAGCAGCCTCACAGGGAAGAAGTGAGGTCCCAGGTTACACAAAGCACAAAGTAAGCAGGGGAGACCCTGCGCGCGGAAGGCAGCTTCTTGGCTCTGTGGGTTGAGATCCTGCACAAGTCTGAGTTTTGCTCATGGTTTACATATCTTGCACAAGGTGGCCATGCCATCCAAGACCGTTTTTAAAAGATAAATTCAGACACTGCCTACCTGCTCCAGCACAACCTGCTCCCACTCAGTGGTGGGGGGAGCTTCAATGGGGTTCCTTGGGGGTGAGAAAGAAATTCGGGCTTCTGAGGGGAGCACGTGGTCTGCAGCAGCTTCGCTCTCGCCTCCAAGTCGCAGAAGTTCTCTTAGCTACTCAGGGGATCTAAATGAAGTGTTAGTCATTTGCTTCTGTCCTGTTTGCTGGTTACTCCACCAAGCCCCATCCCAGGAACTGCTCACTCATTCTTTTTTCTGCTCTATCCTTTGAGGTAGTTTTCTGGAAAACATTAGGCCTATGACAGAGTGCAGCCTGCACTACCCCTAGGAGTCTTTCCGGGAGCTTACCTGAGTGTAAGGCTCAGAAAATCTAGACATCTGTTCAGGACACAGGAAACTCCCTGGCTGTCCTCAACTGCAGCAGGGTACTGGGGGCCTCTCAGAGGCTGCTGAGATCCTGTCCCATGACTGCCCCACCTCCTCCCTATCCATCCAATTTCTGCTTCAACCCTTAGATGGCCTTGGAGATCCAAAATCTCTGCATCCTTCAGGAGGCTCTGGGGCAACACCAATGGGGTCCTCAGGATAAAAGCGTCCAGATCTCTCACTCCTCACCCAGAGCCAGGTCAGGCTTCTCAGCACCCACCTGGGGCTATGGCCACCAGCCTGTCTGGAAGGTGCCATGCCTGTTATGGGGACTGTGGCAATGCTGTACCACATGGCTGGGTCTATGGTGCCCGCCCATCGGGAGCCCAACAGCTCATTAACAGCACAAGCAGACCCTGGCTGAGGACACTTCTCCAGCAGAATGAATGCATCTCATAGTGGCCTTGGGGCTGGTATTTGGTACCTGAGTTCCTTTGGAGCTGTAGGTGGGCCATTTCTAACGCCAGGGCAGAGGACTCAGGTGTAGCCCAGAGCCTTCCCTGGCCACTTCAGAAGGAGCCTGGACAGAGATGCTGTGCTCACTGGGACGGGAGTGGGGATGGTCCCTTCAGAGAAGACCAGTGCTCAGGTTTCCCCCTGGCTCAGGAATGCTGGGTCAGAGAAGTCCCATGGGACTTGGGTGGTGCTTTAGCAAGTTGAAGTGAGGCCTCTTTGGAAGGACAGGGGAGCTCAGGGTCAACTAATGCCAACTGAGTGCCAGAGGTGAGGGAAATTCTGTGCTAGCTCCTTTGTACCGATGATCCTAGCTGAGCCTTTGCAAAGTGAGAGGTCCCACTCCATTTTACAACAAGGAAAATGAGGCTTTAGCAGTACCCATGACTTGTACAGGACCTTGTGGTCAGTCAAGGAATCAACCTGGACATTCTGGTTCTAGCCCTGCTCACCAGGATGACCCTAGTGATGGCTGGAGTTGATCCAAGCCAGACGTCTAGAAGACAAGGTGAGCACATGACTTTGATGCAGAGGTTCGAGTGCTGGCTGGGTGCACTTGGATTTGGGGAGAAAAATGGCTGTCACCTCCTATGTTAGGACATGTGGGGACCCACATCTAGAGAGGCCATATGGACTGACTGCAAGAGAAAGCAATGCAGAAGAGGATGGAGGGAACCCCCTTTGGAGGAGAAAGGGGAAGACAGGAAATGGGGTGCTAGGGTAGGCACTGTGGGCTCTCTGAAGGCGAAGAATTCCACCACCACCACCACCCCACACGCCTTTGCTCACCCATAGGGTCCCAGACGGAAGATACCAAACTCCAAGCCACTGAGGACAAAGCTCCTTCCATTCTTTTCCTGTGGATGCTTGACTTCAGAGTCCCTTAGAATTGGCCTAACGCTGCTTACTGCAGTCCCAGCTAATTTCTCTGGCTTTGGGGACAGAGACCCAGTACCTGGATTAATAAGCTTTAGGACCCTCGGAACTGACCTTGACCTTGCCCTGCTTAGGAATTCCTGAAAGTAAGAACTGGAATCACAAACTCTCCTTGTCTCTGCCTCTAAAGTGAATTGCTCAAGATGGCCAGGGCCCTGCTTGGCCTTGCAGAGGCCCAGTGGTTAGCCACTCTCAATTGAACTGATTTTAGTTCCTTCCCTGCTGAACTCAGTGTCTTATGTTCAAATTTTGAATGCAGGTCTCTGTCTGGAATGTGTGGAGGAAAGTCAGGGAGGCTCCTAGATAGGGGGAGGGCAGGCAGTCTGGCATCTCTGAAGTGGTGATCACTGTGGACACCTCCCTTCTGCCCCACTCAGAGTTTCTTGTTACATTTTCCAAAAGCCCAGTTCAGCCTGAGCGATGCCCTTCATGGGGCAGGTGCTGTGGTGGCTTTGAGAAGATACAAGAGGAGTCTCCTGAAGCAGTCACAGGAAGATGAAAGGCAGACCTGTGGCATAGCCCAGGAGACACTGGCTTTAGGAAGGGCAAGGACCTCCTGCCAGAACACCCCAACTTCACACCTCCTGTGCTCCCTGAAACCCTTACCCCACTGTCTTCTCACTCACTCCACTAGAACCCCCAGTCTTTCCCCTGGTCAGGGGCTGACCTGGCCTTTAGCTGTTCCCAGCTATTTCTCAGGAGGAGTGAAAATAACTATTGAACTGTCTGGAAAAGTTTGGTTCCCTTTGAGCCCGGATCTGGGCCTCCCTCTCCCTGCATTGTTCTCTAGGGTCTCTGTTGGCCATCTGTCGGACAGCTCTGTTCTCCCAGGCACTGCCACAGCCATCCCAGGGTCCTCCTCTTCCTTCCTCTGCATCCCATCCCCCCTCTGTTCAGTTCAGACAGTTGCAGGGAGGGGGCAGCGGGGCTCTGCCCTGGCCACAGTACCTAAAGGTGTACTGGACAGTACCAACACACTTAGGGTTAAAATTGAGGCTAAAGACAGCCTTCTGGGTGACCTGCTAAGCTGGCAGAGTTGTTGGTGGAGGTGGCAAAGGAAAGGGACCATCCCAGGTTAGGTGACTTTCCTTTATCCTCCCAGAGCAAAGCAAAGGCGTGGTATACCAAGTTCCCTTCCAGCCAGTGTGTCTCCAGGGGCCCAGCGTCCTCACAGGCAGCCGTGGCAAGGCCTGCAGCAGGCAAAAGGAAGAGCCCCTGATTTGTTACCATCATACATCTCGCCTAGCTCAGGAGGCGCCAACCCCCACCAAGCAAGAGTACCAAGAACACCCCAAGGGATAGGCTACTCCTAACTAGATCTATAGTTAAATTACTTTTTCCCCCTGGGGCACAAAAGCAAAAACAATTTTTTTCCTTAGTTTCACCAGGGTTTGCAATTGAACACGTCTGCTATGATGACTTAAAAATTTTTTTTAAATTTCATTTTGAAGCAGGTATTTTTTAATGGGGCTTATTTTTGGATTTAAGATCCCTGAGCTCTTTGCCCAGGGAATCAATGCTTGCTGCTGTGTTGGAAAGGCAGACATTGATGACCACTGTATTAAGCCAAATTTAAACTCTTTCGTCTCTTCCATCTGTAAGTGTTATGTATCTACCTCATTATGATTTTTTTGGTTTTCCTGTGCTTTCGTGTTGTGTACAATGTCAGAGGTGAAATGTAGATAAAAAAAATATATATAAAAATATATATTTTTGCTTTGCAATAAAGTTCAAAGCTATAACAGAATATTCACAAAATGTCATAGCCTTTTACTGTGCTCTCTCTTCTTAGTTGTGACTTGTCCTGGGATCCCTTTGGCCTATTCACTAAAGTCAACATGGTTGTGTTTGCCATTTGATGAATTATCCGAATTTTTTTAACTGTACTTTTTTGACACATTGAATAAGACACTAGGATTCTTGGTTTCAAAGGTGCTTTATTTCTGTGGACTCATGTGATCAATGGAAGTGTCTCTGCAGACTTGAATCTTCCAGATACAATTACTGATCTCAACGCCATTGTGCTTTGGGTTCAAAATGAAAGGTTTGTGTGTAGGGGGAAAAAGGAAACATTGGTTTGGCTTTGACTTTTTCAAGCTGTTGGTATTTACTTCTGTTCAATCTTATTGCTTTCTGTAACCTCAATTTCTTGGCGTGGAACATGGAACTCGCTGACTCCCTACTGTTCTTGTCTATTTGGCTGCTTTTGACTTTTTTTGACTTTGCCATTTCCTCTAGGTTAATTTTGTGCGTTGAGCTATTTGGTGGTGAACTTTGCTGTGCCCAGCCCCACCTCTTCTCTAAACCTTCTGGAACTCTCCTCCATACCATATGTTAAGAGGGACGGTGCTTTGGAAATAATTGTAGTCTACAAGCCAGCGACACCATAGAGACTCAAGTATTTCAGAAGAGTCCTGATGAATTACAGGACAGGTTCATGGGACCTTGGATCAAAGGCAAATTGTCTGCAATTTATTCCCTTTTTCTATGTGGTTGGACAGAATTACTTTCCTTTGACTAAGCACATGTAGGTGGTAAGCCTATGAAATTTGTATAGTTCTACGACCCCTGTTTTTCTGTGTCTTTGACCAAAATATGTAGAGCTTTTCTCACATTCATTCAATATGTTTTAAATGGTATAAAGAAAGGTACACACATGAGAGTAAAATAACCTTAAAAATGGCCCTTCTGTAAAATCCTATGTGTTTTATTATCCTTCAGCTCCAAGGAGCGAGGGGGAAATAATAGTGGAAGGAGGGGGATCATCTCCACAAACGATGACTTCGCCCACAAAACACTAACATACTAGGAAAAACAAAAACACCTATGATTCAATTTCATAATATGTTGTATTTTTCTCTTTTTTCTTCTGATGATCATAAAGAATTGCTGGAGTGTATTGATAATCGACATTTTAACTTGTATTCGGGGAGATTAGCTTTGTTCTTTAACAATACAGAACTGGCATTTAAAACAACTCTGGCCAGGCTATGCTTGGCCTCTTGTTGGCTATTTCTCTCTTTTTATGGTACAACGGTCTGTGTATGAATTGAAATGCAGATAACATGTGTGCTGAAGGTGGAACACACTGGTGTTGATTTGGAGGGAAAATTATACTGATAAATATATATTTATACGTATATACATGTGTGGAAGCTGGTGAGTGGGAATATATTATATATTCACACACACACAACCACACAGATGGGCACAATGACAAATATGCTTCCAAAGTTAATTTTTGATTTTGAGGAATTTGCTACCTCACTGAGCTTTCCAAAAATTCCTTTAAGATAATTAAATGTGTTGGCATTTTGTTTTGTTTTGTTACTAGAAAGCACAATTCTTGTTATTCCTTACTCTTTTGGTGACCTAGCTATGGTGGGTTCAGAGGAGCCTATTTCATGTATATTTGTGTGGAATCCTTTCTTATACCCCACCTTCCATCCACCCAATGCCCTGAGATACCTGCCCCACCTCGCTGTGCATCGCAGGAGAGCCCTACTTCCTGGAGACCCTTTGAAACCTGAATGCTGCTCTGTCACCCAAGGAGAGGACACCGATAGGACCTCTGACCTGGACAAGCCAGTTTCATGCATGTAGTAGGTGTGGCAAATCTCCCTTTTGAGGGAACCCCTGACACCCCTGGCAGAACAATGTGAGTGAGGCAGGGAAGGAAGGCAGCCTCAACTCACCCAATGGTGTTTCCTCTCCCCCACCTTCCCGTTCAGTGCCATGTCTCTGCAGACTTGGCTGTCCTTGAACTTGGCTGCTTGGATGGCTTGTGGGGAGTTGTCTACACTTCCGAGGATCCCTTGAGTATTTTCTCATTGTCACTGGTCTGGACACTTGTCTCTTGAGAAAGGAGCAGGCACTGTCTCAGATGTGATTGTTCTGAATGGAGATGCTTTGGTTTTGTGGATGACTGTTAGGCGCTCTTGAGTTCTTTGATTTGGAATCCACTGTCTCCAAGATGGACTCTACTTCTGCCCCTCCCCTAGCTACTTGCTGGCTGCCTTGCTTCCAAGAACAACTTCTAGGCCTGAGGAACTTTGAAATCATTGGACCAGAGGCAGCAGGTATATTTCAATGGGATGTGGCGAATGACATGAGCATCTCTCTTACCCTGATCCGAGGTGTCGCACAGCCATGGCAGAGTCTTGGACTTTGGAATTCCCAGGCCTCTGGATCTGCCATGCACTGATCTTCCTTGCACGAGGCTGAGGTGGTAGATGACGAGTCTATTTTACCTCATAGCAGTTTTCCTGCCAGAAACAGTGTTACCATCTCGAATTTACTCTGCCAATTGACTGTCAAGTATTTATTGAACGCTTACTTTGCCAAATACAGGGCTAGAACTGTAGGGAATCTAAGGTGAAGCAAATCCTGGGTTTTTAACTAGAAAGAGTAAGAAATAACCATGATACT